TATATGGGCATTAGATTTCCAGTGCTGGGGGAGGTTTCAAATATCACAGGGTTGGAAGAACGGGTGTTGTCTCGTATCGAGCAATCCCCATCTCATGAACTGACTTTCGAGGTTGAGTGAAGCCCAGTGTCCATTTTCTTAACAAAGTCACTGTCTTTGCTCAACCAACCAATACATGTTGAAAATTTAAGAAAAAAATATATACTACTAGTAAGTGCAATATTTTCCGATTTTTACAAATTGGACTATCTGGTTCTTTTCCTTTTTTAAAACTTTTATATTGGAATGTTTGCAGGCAAGACAACAACAGTAAAAACAAGGTACGTGGTTATGTCAGAGGATATCCTAAAGAAGTACCCTGAGCTAACTGTCGAAGGCCTTCCAACAGTAAAACAAAGACTAGACATATGCAATGCAGCAGTTACAGAAATGGCAATTGAAGCCTCACAATGTTGTATTAACAAATGGAGCAGACCAATATCAGACATTACTCACGTAGTATATGTTTCATCAAGTGAAGCTAGATTGCCAGGAGGCGATCTTTATTTAGCAAAAGGACTTGGTTTAAGCCCAGAAACTAAACGAGTTATGTTATATTTTGCTGGCTGTTCTGGTGGAGTCGCGGGCATTCGTGTTGCTAAGGACATTGCTGAGAATAATCCAGGAAGTAGAGTCCTGTTAGCTACCTCTGAGACTACTATAATTGGGTTCAAACCACCAAGTGTTGATAGGCCATATGATTTAGTTGGAGTGGCTCTGTTTGGTGATGGTGCTGGAGCTATGATAATAGGCTCAAACCCGGTTCAGGATATTGAAAGGCCTCTGTTTGAATTGCATACTGCTATTCAGCATTTCTTGCCTAACACAGAAAAGATCATTGATGGCAGGTAAATGCGCGAGTTGGGTCAAAATTAGACGAGTCAAATTAATAAACAGGTCACTACTCAACCAGTCCGACGTTTGTTTAGGTCAAAACTAGTTGGGTCAATGGGTCAAATTACTAAGTCATAACCAAACCCATCTAATATGACCCAGTTTCCCTTCCTTTTCTATTAGTACGCTTTCTGAAAAGGAAAAAAAAAAAGAAGAAAAAGAACATTACTCAGGTAAATGGGCGCGCAGGTAAATGGGCGGGTTGGGTTAAGATTAGACGAGTCAAATTAACAAAAACAGTTCATGACTCAACCAGTTCAATGTTTGTTTAGGTCAAAATGAGTTGGGTCGTAATGGGTCAAAATTACGATCATAACCTAACTAAACCCATCTAATATGACGTTTCCCTTCCTTTTCTATTAGTATGCTTTTTGAAATTAAAATAATAAAGAACAATTGAAAACTAACATATTTTTCTTAAATTATTAGCCTAAGTTCCTCTATATTTACTTAATTCTGGATCTCCATATTTGATTTTGTATTTCGATTTGTCGAGTTACATTATTTTGCCTTATTTTTTCCAATAGTTTGATGAGTTATTTCATGTTCAACTATTGAGTCAAATCAACGAACAGAGTAATAATCCAACCAATCCAACCCGTTTAAAGTTGGACTGGTTGCTAAAACACGAATTTATTTTTCCGCAGACTTACTGAAGAGGGAATTAGTTTCAAGCTTGAAAGAGAACTACCCCAGATAATTGAAGACAATATTGAGGATTTTTGTGACAAGTTAATTAGTATTACAGGATACAATAATAGAGAATACAACAAGCTATTTTGGGCAGTTCATCCAGGTGGTCCTGCTATTTTAAACAGGCTAGAAAAAAGGCTGGAATTATCTCCTGATAAATTGAGTGCAAGCAGAAGAGCATTGGCTGATTATGGAAATGCAAGTAGTAATACTATTGTTTATGTGTTGGAGTATATGTTAGAGGAAAATAAAGACAAGAAGAAAGAAAATCAACAAGATTCTGATTGGGGATTGATACTTGCATTTGGTCCTGGGATCACATTTGAGGGTATTCTCACAAAGAATCTCACCGTTTGAACTGTACGCCACTGGCCCTCGGAAATTTTTCGATTGTCAAAAAAATAAGCAAAAAGGAATATGACCATTTGAATATGTTAAAGAGTACTCAATTTATAGTTCTTATTGTTGAAGCTTTTTGTTTATTGTCTAGTCCATAATACAATTTGATCAAGAGGAAAGAAGTCTCTCCAAGACAAAAAGGATGATATTTTGATCTAAATTTGATTTCATTCATAAATTGTTTATGGAAAATTAAATAGTACTACGTCGTAAAACAAATCTTTATTGACTCCAATTTTAAAGCTAAGATTAGTATTAAAGTAAGTTTTGACTTTTGACCTCCTCGCATGTACTGATTCCTTTGAGGTTTTTATTACTCACTCCCTCTCAAATTATCTGTCGTGGTTTCTAAAAATAGTTGTGTCAAATTATTTGTCATTTTAGAAATTCAAAAGTAAATTAATTAATTTTTTTCGTATTCTACCCTTAATAATAATTGTTCTTGAAGACTACAAATACCTTAATTATGAGTAAGTATTAAATGAAAAGAGATTATATCTTACTCCCTCCGGTCCACAATAAGTGATCAATTTGCATTTTTATTTTGGTCCAAAATAAGTGTCTATTTATATAAACAAGAAAATATTCAATTTGTTTTTCCAAAATTAACCTTATGTATGTATCCCTAAAAAGTCTTTTACTCCTCACATTAACTATGCTGCAACATTTAATTAAGGGTAGTTTAGTCCCACTAACTATTTTTGTCTAGAATTTAGTATTTCCTTAATGGGTGTGTCCAAGACAAATTGACCACTTATTGTGGACCAGAGGGAGTAAGACATAAATAAATGTAAAATAATCAAAAATCTTTTCTATTTAATATTTTCTTGAGGCGCATGTAAAAGAGAAACACGACAGACAGTGGCAAACTTACGTTTTCAAGTATGGGTGCTGAAGCACCCATTGACTTTGGCCAAATTGTGTTATCTATTCATAGATAATACTTAAAATTTTGAATAATTGACCATGAACACCCACTATGATCATATTTGATCATTGTAAATTTACGCTAAAATTAGTGAAGCACCCACGACCTATAAATTCTGGATCTGCCACTGACGACAAATAATTTGAGATGGAGGGTGTATTAGTAATAAATGTCCACATTTATACGTACTCTGCTTGGATGGTTGTATGTGAAAAAGAAACTTCCTTAATTAGAGAATATCAAAAACTTATACACAAACTTCATTTATTCCACATCTCATATAATACAAACAAGAATACAAAGCATTACAAATGTATTAACTCACAAAGAGGAGAGGACACAATTCCTCAAAAAGAAAAGACACAAAAAGAAATATCGTAAAGACATTTACTACATTTTGTTTATTGATACAATATGGACAGGACCATATAGTATAGTCTGAGATAACAATAATAGGCAGAGAATTTTAAGGGCATTTGCGTCTGTTGCCGTGAGTAGTCATATTGGCATAACAAGGGCAAGTTTCAGTGTTGCCAGAAGTGCCAGGAGGAACACAGTTGCATCTTGCACAACATGTTCCACATGCTCTATTACACAATCTTGGCCTTGATGATAAACGGCACCTTGCTTTACATGCTCCCCCACAATCTTTACACACACACACACAAGAAGCCCATTAATAAAGAATGTAATTACTGGATACGTAAAAATAGCACGGTCTAGCCAGTTTTTGGACTGGTCATTCAAAAATAGCCAGCATTTACCAAGTCAATAAAAAATAGCCACTATTTTGCTGCAACAGAGACCGGTCCAGCATAATATACTGGAGTTCGGTGCACCTGTGTATGGACTTCCAGCATATTATGCTGGAAGTCCAACACACGGAAAGTTCCAGCATAATATACTGGAGATTCGAGCACTTGTGTATGAACTTCCAGCATATTATACTGGACCGGTATACTTTGTTGAAACTCCAGTATATTATGCTGGAGTTCTAGTGTACTTATGCTGGAACTCCATCATATTATGTTGGAGTTCCAGCATACTTATCCTGGAACTCCAGTATAATATGCTGGAGTTCAAGTATACTTATGCTGGAACTCCAGCATAATATACTGGCGTATTTTCCGGGTTTTGAAGAGTGTTTTCGCTCAGATTTATCTTTACATGAAAAGTGACTAAATTTCGATTACTTTTCAAACTGGGCTATTTTTGAACGACCACTTGTAAATCTGGCTATTTTTGAATTTCTCCCACTGGATACTGATAGTGTATAGATTTTTATAGGAAAAATGACACTGTATAGCCGCTCTCAAAATAATAGTCGAAAAAATGTACATTTTTTTGTATATATATACATTCTGTATGTTATATACAAAAATTATATAAATTTTATATATTTTTTCGGCTACCGAATATAATTAATTTCTAGTAGAGGCTAAAAATGAAAAAAGTCCACTTTTATATTATCTGGTTAAAATGACCTACAATAACATGCAAATAACATACTATAGACAGTTAAAAAACGAAAAGTCCAAAAATATACATTATTAGTGTGTATATGTTGAATCCTTTCTTATAACAAAAAACAAGATAGGATAGTCAATTAAAAGAAGAAAAGTTAATACACCGATGGAATAAATGATATTTGCATAATCATGTCTGAGATTGTAACCTGAAAAAAATGGTGAGTAACATGCTAAAACCGGTTAAATGCTTTAAGAGTGTAAAAAGAAATTTATTTACACACGATCAATGAATAAAAGATAAATCCTTTTAAAGAATTAAATAAAACAAAAAGTTTCTTTTGTCAGTTTTATGTAACTTTGAACAATTTGGTTTTTTCAATAGGTAATAAACAAAGCCAAAAGAAACAGGACAGAACATACACGACCCCAAAAAAAAAAAGTGTATAAAGAAATTAAAAAAAGTGACAAAATTTTGTATGGCATCAGAGAGAAATTAAAGTTGTAAAGGATAGCATACCGATTTTCTTGTAGGAATAAGCGGCTTCAGAAATGGCATTGCTAGTCTGCAAAAATAAATACATCATCAGCGGGATTGGCGGATTCAGGATTTAAACCCTATGAGTTCAGTTTTTAAGATTTTTAGCATTGAACTCATTATATTTTTAAAGTTATGGGTTCAAATATACTATTTATTGCAATTTTAGTAAATTTTACACATAAATTTATGTACCGCATTGAAAATTAAAAGTTTAGTTGAACCCGTCACCTTATCACCTATACGCTACATGCGCCTCTGTCTTGAAATTACGAAAGTAATACTTACTTACTTATGTAGCAAGGAAAATTTAGTATTTTCTTATGGTTAAAAAAAAGTGTATAGGTCGATGAAATTTGACTTCGAATTGTGACCTCTTGACTATTAAATTATCCCGTAATATAGATGGTCAACCAAATTTGATATTACTAGGTTTTGAAGTAATTAACCTAAGGAATTAATAAAAATACTCACCACTTGATCAGTATGAATGGATTGGACTTCACCGAGGAGAAGCAAGCAGAGAACTAATGAAACAAAGAGAGTTTTAGAAATGGCCATTGGAAGTAATGGATATTTGTTTAAAGCTTATTATTTTAGTGTGACTTGAGAAGGAAGACCAATGAGGTATTTATAGGCAAGTAAGAAGTGTGTAGGTCCATCCGAGGACAAATAGAATAGAAACACCCAAAAATTTTAAATTAAAGCAAAAGGAATAAAGGAAAGTATGTGGAGCCCGGGTGGACGTTTGGGCAGTTCGTATTGAATATAAAAATTTCGGTTTAGATTTTCGATTTTCAGATTGAAGAAATGACAATCCAAATACAATCCAAATAAGTTCAGATTGAATCAGATTTTTTAAGTTTGATTCCGGATTAATCGGTTTGGATATTTTGGATTTTCGGTTTTGAGCTTATAAGTTGAGATATTTCTTCTTTTGACAAAAATAAATATCCAAATGAAGTACTCATGTTAAATTGCTTGAAAAGTTCCTCATTCTCACCGTAATCATCCAAATAAAGTATTCAAGTAAAGAAATTATTATCAAGGAAATGCAACAGAGACATTAATACGACCGATAAAAAGTAGCAATAGTAAAATCATGTCCAAATAGAAAATATTCTGATAGTAACTTAGTAATTAATATTGAATATATGAAATAATATCTAATAGGTAGGGTATTGAACTTATTATTATTTGCATATGGATAAAGGACTAAATATAAAGTATAAAACTTTTGGATTTTTGGATATCTGAAAACCCGAAGTACCAAATCCAATATCCAATCCGAAATCCAAAATTTTAAAAATTAAATCCAAAATCCAATCCGAAAATCCAAACGAAACTTCAAAAAATTCGAATTTCGGTTAGAATTTTGGGTTCTATGCCCACCCCTACGTGGAGGAATAGCATGCATGCGAATAATTTAGGTACGTAAAGCTTAACTGTAGTAGGTAACTACGCTATAGTATATTAATTAAATAGAGAAGGAATAATAATTGCTCCCTTGTCTTTGAATATATTTGCAAAACATTAATTTATGCAAAATATTTAATAACTTTAATCATGAAAATATTAATATCTCATTTAATTAACACGTACTCTCTCCGGTCCAAAATAAGTAATTTTTTGGCATTTTTCTTGTGGTCCAAAATAAGTGATTTTTTCAGATTTCAAGAATGAATTAATTATTTTTTTCCTACATTGTCCTTGAAGGAAATGGTGTTGGAATATGTGTTAGGAGTGTTTATGTGAGATAGTAAAGGTTAATATGGTCAATTTTATTGCTAATTAATGCTAAAAGGTGAATTTTTTAATTTGTGTGAAAACATCCGAAAAATCACTTATTTTGGACCGGAGGGAGTAACTAACTAATTGGAACAGTATAAGTATATTTGAAAAAAAAAAGGGAAATGACAAACTGTTTGGAGGAAGTAAAATTTAACAGCCTAGTCAGAGAGTCTGGAATTATTAGTACACTTCCCAAAGTGTGTATAATTGCTGTAGTAGGGGGACAAAGCTAACATATAAAGTCTCAGACGTTTCATTACATGAATTAATTAAAACAAGTTGAGTTCTATTTAATTATATTATCCGTTGCCAGAAAAGAACTCGAGATTCTTACGAATAAGCGCAAATAATATACTAATGACACTCTTTTGTGATAATAAGTACGAATTTACAATAAGTATGTGTTTTCTTATAAAATATCAGCTACATATACATAATTGAGAAAATAAAATGGAGAAAATGACACTGATAGCCGCACTCAAAATATTAGCCGAAAAATGTATATTATATATATATATATATATATACACACACACACATTATATATGTTATATACAAATTTTATATACTTTTTCGGCTACCAAATATAAATAGTTTCTGACAAGGGCTAAAAATGATAATACCCCTACATAATTCGAGTTAAAGATAATACTAGAAGTCAATTATTTGTTCAATCCTCCCGGGCGGAGCTAGTAGCCTGGCTATAAGTTCGGGTGAATTTAGTAGTTTTTGCTCAAATAGTGTACTTGTATTAAAAAGTTCAATAAATATATACAAATATTAAATTTAAAACTCAGTTATCAATACTTGAAGTCATTTTAAAATTCAAAACCAATAAGATTGAAATTCTGACTCCGCCTTCCTCCGGGAGGGATACTTCTATTTTTTGAACTGATAAGACAGATAAGTAATGTGCAGTTTAAAGTTCAATCAATCTCCTCATTACCGAAATAGGGAATCCATCTTAATCCTTAAGAACATCAATAATAAAGCTATATGACCACAAAAGAGGTTTTTTTTTTTTAATAAAACGCGTTTGGACCAGTAGTTGAAGTTGAGCAAAGCATCAAATAATTATATTTAGGAGTTTGGTCCATTCAAAAAATTTGTAAAGGTGCATAATAGAAGATAAGAGCATGATTTGGAAGTCAAAAGTTAACATCTTATAACAACTACTACTATGAATGCTACTTCCTTTTTTGTTGTGTAATGTGATTACTATTGAATGAGTTAAGACAACAGCTAGCATCTTGTTGCACTACAGCTGTTTGTATTCTGGAACTCTCTTTTTCCAAAAGGATTACCACAAAAAATTATATTTAAATTTTAGCTCTTGGATTTGGAAAAAAATAACATGTTGGACACTTTCTAGACGCACGATTAATAAGAACATTGGAAGGCAACAAAAAGTAAAAAAGGACAAAAATTAATGAAAAAGATTTTTACGTCAATAATACTCCTATCACTTTCGTCTTCAAATCATGCACATACTTATCGTGTTACAAAAAATCATGCACAAACTTAAGAATATTCGGAAAATACTTGAGTCAATTTTGACCAAGTGATTTTTTTTATGTAGCCCACGAGTGGTATATAAAAAACAACTCTCTGTTTTATTTTTGGCATTTCACCAACGGGGAAGCTGATTATAAATATTTCAAGATGTTAGGACCGAGTTGGTTCCGATGCAACAGTCCACAAGTCTAAGAGCCCGTTTGGATTGGATTATTTTAAGTGCTTTTAAGCCAAAATAACTTTTAAGTCATTTTGTAGTGTTTGAATAAAGTAAAAAAGTACTTTTAAGCACTTATTTTTAAGCTAAAACGACAAAAACAAGCAAAAAGCCAAAAGCTAGAAATCCTAACTTATGGCTTAAAAGCTACTTAAAATAAGCCCATCCAAACGGGCTCTAAGTTAGGGTTGTACATAGACCGAGTTAGTTCGATTTTTATCAAAAACTAAACCAAACCAACTATATCGGTTTGGATTGTTTCGATTTTGTCGCGTTTTTCCGATTTTTTTTGTTACATAAATATTTTTCGATCTTACTTTGTTTAAGTTATAAGATAAAATTTTGATAAATCAATATATGTTTAGTAAAAATTAAAAAATTGACAAACATATGATCTATTAAAATATTCTTACGGGAGATTTTTTAGGAACACATGATAGCTATTTTCTTAGTTGTCTAAGAGTAATTTTTCGTTAATATACAATTTCAAAGCTAACCGAATTTAAAAATTAAACATATAAATCAAGTTGATACCTAAATAATAAGAAATCTTAATTTTATATTCTATTTAATTTTAAATTATCAAAATATCATTTCAAATTGAAAAAAGATATAAGAAATTTTGACATACGAGTATGGAAGAATAAAGAGGTGATTGACGCATTTCAGTAACACTTGATAAGAAAGTGATACAATCCATTATTTATAGTAAATAAAAATAAATGCACTTCATAATTCTATTAAATATTACATCCCATGAGAGGATCTCAAATACCACTACATTTTTTAGAGAAAAATCAATATAAAGTCTTAAAAATATATATAAAAAATATTATATATTTATATGTCGGTTTGGTTAGAGTATTTTTCCTCAATACCAAACCTACTCGGATTTTTTAATCGGTTTAGTTTGACTTTTCGATTTTGTGCGGTTTTCCGATTCGATTTGACCACCCCTAAGTCTAAGTAACCTGAAGGATAAAGAGGGACAACATATGTTATCAAGAGAAAGAGCTGGAAGAAAAAAAAAGGATAATTTCAAACTTCTGATATGCTAAAACACCAACCAAACGTCTACAATAAAATGAAGGGCGAGGCCAGCCTAGCGGTCAATGAAATGTCGAAACTGTGTGAAACCAAAGTTACAAACAAAGACAGTGATTTATTCTCATATGCAAGCAGACCACCTCATCAAAAAAGGAAAAAATAAAAATAAAGGACCAAGAATCCAGAAGACCGAAAACCAGGTATACCTCTCATTTTCAACAAAAGCAGATGATTGCCTGAGGGGCCAATAGAAATGAAAGTTACATTATCTTTGTGGTGGAGTGAGTGGTAGATCGATTGTTGCATATCCATTCAGAAAAAATGAGTCACAAGTTCGTACAAATGAAAGCCTCTGACTGGAAGGTACAAACTCTTATTCCCTTGCAATATGACCATCCCGAAAGGGAAAGGGGGGAGGGGTGGGGTACGTCCAGTTGTCCAACAAACAGAAACAATTGTATTGGAATCAGAATCATTAATCATTCATCGTGGTACATTAGTACATAAGTACAAAAATGAGTACATATCTGAAAGCCATATGATGTTAGTGCTAACTGTGCTAACAAAGTAAAGTAATCTAGGATTGAGAGAAAACCAACTGCTTAATTTTAAGACGATGCTAACTGCTAAAAAAGTAAAGTATAATCTAGGATTACCAGAAAATATTTCAGATAATACTAACTTCACAGACCACCGCACTCTTGATTTTATGCCTGGAGAGCCCTAGACCAGATTTTGACCTAGTAGAGAGACCAAAGGTAAGTAAAAGGAAGGGAACAAACGTATGTGAAATTTCTGTCCATGACTAGCACAATCATCAGTTACACTACTCCAGAAGGAAGGCGCATGACCAGCTGTCCACCGAAAACACTGCAATAAATTTAAAATGTGCAAGATGTCATAGTCAATACAGCTTTGTGAAAAGCAAATGAGGAGGAAAGCCAGAGGATAAGAAACAAATTGACATGCAGAGCATTTTCAACCTTTTAACATAGTAGTAACAGAAGTCTGCTAAGATAAAGGTTTGAACAATTTCGGATATAAGAACC